ACATTAGAAAGAACTTTATCTGTGTCAGAGTAGTTAGTAAATGGAATGCACTAGGAAGTGATGTGGTGGAGGCTGACTCCATACACAGTTTCACATGTAGATTTAATGGAACCGTATAGGCTCAAGAATCTGGAGCCAGATTCACGAAGCAGTTACGCAAGTACTTACGAATGTGTACATCTTTTCTCTATCTTTGACGGCTTTGGTTACATTTATTAAACAGTTTACAATCATAAAATTTGCCAATCAACTGTTGTTATTTTTATAAACAGTCTCCTGGTGCTTCGGAGCTCATTAACTGTGTAATAATTGTAAACAAAGCCGCCAAATATTGAGAAAAGATGTACAGGTTCGTAAGTGTTTGCGTAACTTCTTCGTGAATCTAGCCCCTGAACACCAGTTGATTGACAGCTGAGAGGCGGAACCAAAGAGCCAAAGCTCAACCCCCGCAAGCACTCCTAGATGAGTGCACACGTGTAAAAGTAGTGGGAAATCTACTGAACTAAATTATTAGTTGAGTGTAGAGGCGTACTCCATTCATAATTTAAAAAATAAGGTATCGTAGAAAACATAGTTCAGGAGTCATTGCATTAGATAACCAGCGGCTTGAAAAACGGGTCCAAGCGCTAAAGCTCGATCCTACAGATACAAAAAGGTCAAGTACAAACAGGTGAGTACACATGTCATTAAAAACGTGGGAAAAATTGGCGCCAAATCTAAAGCGGGTCTCAGACACCGGGGCAAATAGTGCCCTCCAGGCCCACCCTGGCCCACCCAGACCCACCCAGACCCACCCTGGCCCACCCAGACCCACCCTGGCCCTCCCTGGCCCACCCAGGCCCACCCTGGCCCACCCTGGCCCACCCAGGCCCCGTGGCCTCCAGGGTCGCGTGTCGCGATGTTTACGTACGATCAGCTGGGAGAGATACGCGTGTGTTGCTCACGGCTCTGGCTCACTGTAATTGGCAGGTGAGGCCGCCCCGCTCAGGTGAACCCGCCTCTAACTCAATGATGCAATGTTGCAATAAAACTTGCAGCTGAAAATATTGTATTGTGTTGACAGAAACGGTGGTGTCTGTGTGTTTTGTGCTAGAGGTGTGGGTGTCGCAGTGTAGCGGTGACGCTGTAGCTTGTTGAGAGAGGCAAGGAGAGGCAGTAAAAGAGGGAATAGGAAGTGTATGAGAGGAGAGACAAAACAGGAGGAAGAGGGAGAAGAGTCAACCTTAAACCTTAGGTATAGGACGGTTAGGGTTATACATCACCGTCATCTTCCAAGCTCACCTTTCCCATCCCATAAGACAACATTATCATAACCCTTGTAGTGAGTTCTGTGCTCTTTGATTCATTGTCTGTCTGTCTGTCTCCTCTCTCTCTCCTCGCTCTCCTCTCTCTCTCTCTCTCTCTCTCTCTCTCTCTCTCTCTCTCTCTCTCTCTCTCTCTCTCTCTCTCTCTCTCTCTCTCTCTCTCTCTCTCTCTCCCCTCTCTCTCACCTCCACACACACACACACACACACCTTTCATCAGCAGCACATGCTAGACCTAATTTGAAAGCAATTGGAACCTGTTAGGTTCCTCTATGATCTCTCCTTCTCTCGAATTGAGAAGTTAAATGCCAGGTTTAACAGCAATTATCTCAAGGCACTATCTGAGAGGGTCAACAGTCCTTGGTTTGTCTTACAGGGCTCTAAGACGATAGAGGCTTTTCAAAGAGCAGTTTTAAGGAGAGGCTGATATATCTCCAGCTCTAAACCCTCTATATGGTCTCTGATTAAACTATATTATTAAGACTATATATATATTTTTTAATTGTGTTTATGCATTCAAGTATCTGACTTATCAGATACCTGATCAACCAGGCTGTGACTCGTACGTCAGGCTGCGAGCAGCCGCGTCCAACAGCCTGGTTGATCAGTCCGGCAACCAGGAGGCCTGGTCGACGACCGGGCCGCGGGGACGCTAAGCCCCGGAAGCACCTCAAGGTAACCTCAAGGTATCATCTTAGAATTATTCTCGGTGTACTTGTTTAATCCAGCCTTAACTGTGGAACTTTGCAAGATTTACCTATAAATAATCTTATTCTGTAACTCTTATGTTGGATGCTGCCAATCACTGTACCTGTGATATACTGTTGCTTCTGAACAGGTGAGAGCAGTGGTTTGTCTGCGGCGGTGGTGGTGTGTGTGTGGGGGGGGGGGATGCTGTATGGGAGGTACCTTGTTACTGATACGATGGTGTGGGGGATGTTGCCATGACGACCAGCGTGTGAGAGGTGGTGATTTTGTTGTTGTTGTGGTGGTGTGTGTGGGGGGGGGGGGGATGTTGCCATGGCGATCAGCTCCTACTCTTACTCACAAATGGGGTGGTCACTCACTCACACTCTCTCATCACTTGTGTAGCTCCCAACATCAAAGATAATGTTAGTCTTAACTATATCTCCAACTTCTCTTTTTCTAAACCCTTTTACTTTTTTTGTTTCACATCATCATCATCTACTACTACTACTACTACTACTACTACTACTACATCATTACACATCTACTACAGAATGTTGAACAATGTTCATTTTCCTGAGACTCTGCCATCAGTATCTCTCCTCCCCCCCCTTCCCACACTACCTCCTTCCCCTCATTCCTTACCTCCTCCCTCACATTCCCTACCTCCTGCCCCCTCACTCCCTACCTCCTCCCCATCTATCTGCTATGGCTAACCTTTCTAACGCTTCAAATATCTTATCTAACGTTTAGAGACATTACAGTATCCGCGTATCTCCCTCCCAGTTCACAGCGCTATCCTGCACCTTTTAGTTTTTGCCTTTATCGTCACCATTCCTTTTTCCCCCCAACTTTGGTCGCGAGAGCTGTGTCTCCCTCTACCTGTGTCTCCCTCTACCTGTGTCTCCCTCTACCTGTGTCTCTCTCTACCTGTGTCTCTCTCTCTACCTGTGTCTCTCTCTCTACCTGTGTCTCTCCCTCTACCTGTGTCTCCCTCTACCTGTGTCTCCCTCTACCTGTGTCTCCCTCTACCTGTGTCTCCCTCTACCTGTGTCTCCCTCTACCTGTGTCTCCCTCTACCTGTGTCTCCCTCTACCTGTGTCTCCCTCTACCTGTGTCTCTCTCTACCTGTGTCTCTCTCTACCTGTGTCTCTCTCTCTACCTGTGTCTCTCTCTACCTGTGTCTCTCTCTCTACCTGTGTCTCTCTCTACCTATGTCTCTCTCTACCTGTGTCTCTCTCTCTACCTGTGTCTCTCTCTACCTGTGTGTCTCTCTCTACCTGTGTCTCTCTCTACCTATGTCTCTCTCTACCTGTGTCTCTCTCTCTACCTGTGTCTCTCTCTACCTGTGTCTCTCTCTCTACCTGTGTCTCTCTCTACCTATGTCTCTCTCTACCTGTGTCTCTCTCTCTACCTGTGTCTCCCTCTACCTGTGTCTCTCTCTACCTGTGTCTCTCTCTCTACCTGTGTCTCTCTCTACCTGTGTCTCTCTCTCTACCTGTGTCTCTCTCTACCTGTGTCTCTCTCTACCTGTGTCTCCCTCTACCTGTGTCTCCCTCTACCTGTGTCTCCCTCTACCTGTGTCTCCCTCTACCTGTGTCTCTCTCTACCTGTGTCTCCCTCTACCTGTGTCTCCCTCTACCTGTGTCTCTCTCTACCTGTGTCTCTCTCTACCTGTGTCTCTCCACTGGTTCTTCCTGGTTCCTGCGATATTTTCGTTCCTCTCTTCCCAGCTGTCCTACTTGTGGGTGCCAGCCTGCAATCTCTCAGAGCTTCATTGGACATAGCTATATAGCTTATGTTACTATCTGCCGACCAATTCCAGGTCAGAGGTTAACTATGAACACAACACACACTCCAGCTTCGACGTGACCTCCTGGCTTCGGACCTGACCTACCTTAAACCTCATCACCATGACAGCATTATATAAGAACTTAAAGTGAAAAACTTATGCTTATGTGACTCGTCATAAAACTGAAAGTAAGACAGGGATCAAGTTGATTCAAACGGATACAGATGAACAAATCCACAAGGGCCGTGACGAGGATTCGAACCTGCGTCCGGGAGTCAAGTCATACAGGATACGTCAAGAAATTTATAATGACGGAAAATAATGAAACATTATAACTTGACGCGGTAGATAAACGCGAACACATGCCACATGGAAGGACTCTGGATACATGTGACCTACATTAGGGCATTACACAAGAACGAAGGAAACTGGAGAAGACCTATTAACCCCCCCATACGAGGCAGCTCCCATATATATATCCATCAAAACTGCCAATATTATCAGCAGTACGGTGTCCGTTTCTGTAAAAACTATTAGGAATAAAAACACCGGAATGGTTCCCTTCGAGGTCACCAGGTGCTGCACTTGGGGTTCCTCGGGGCTTAACACTCCCCACCACCACCACCAGGAGGAGTGGGGGGAGAAGGTAACATTTTGGTCCCCCCTCCCCCCTCCCCTACAACCCCTCCGTAGGAGCTTAGCGCTGACTCCCATTAGGGCAATTAGTTTGGGGCCGTGTCCCACACACCTGCCTGTGAAAGGTGACCTGACCCCAGCCAGGTAAGGTCTCTCAGGTCACCTGGAGAATACCCGCTGGACTCGACCCAACACGCCTCAACCCGTTCTCGCACTTGCTTATAGTCAATATTGGCTTATTTAATAAGTGCATACGTGACATACTATACACACGAAGGGCTGAGGTGACACCAAGCTATTCTGACCTCCCGTTCAATACAATCACAAACAACTGTTCAAGACAACATGTTCATATATCTGAACATATCACAAGCAAATGACAAGGTTGAAGATTATGCGTGATGAACATTTCTCCTGTACAGAGGTCGAGAGTCCTTGGGTCAGACTCCTATAGCCTGCCCACCTGTCTTATCTCACTTTATGAAGAGAACTCTTGCTAACTGTAGCCACCTGGCCCAATCCTACCCCAGGACTTGGCCAGGTATACTTCAGAAGGTATTATTGACCAGGTATTACTTACCATGTATTACTGGCAAGGTATGTTTGACCAGGCATTACTTGCCAGGTAAACTTGACCAGGATGGTTGACCAAGTATGGTTGAAGCAGCTGTATGGTTACTGCGGGAGTGGGTCATGATAAAAGCAAACACTTTAGACAAGAACACACAAACATAAGAACAGACAAACATGTCTGCATAAGAACACACAACCTTGCGATACACGTAGGAACACATCACTGCTACTAATGCATGTTTGGAGCCTACAACTACGAGCCTACATCTGTCCCTACTGCAACTACATCAACCACCACCTTAAGCATCTGTAACTTCTTGGGACAAGCAGCAGCAGCAGCAGGAACAACATCACCACCACCAGCAGCAGCAGCAGCAGCAGCAGCAGCAGCAGCCTCACTACAGCTCTCTTACAGTGTTACCCATATCCTAACACCACCACTACAGTTCCGTGCCAGCGGTAGCGGCAGCCGTGGACGACCATGACCATAACGACACGGCCGAGGTTCGACAGCCGGCAGAGGGCCCCCAGTCGACCACCGGATATATATATATATATATCATCTTGTTGGGGCCCCCCGGGCCGATATCTATAAAATAATGACATGTTAAAGTCAGAGTGGTTGGGGGAGGGTATCTGGAGTGGTTGGGGGAGTTGTGGGCGGCGGGAGTGGCGGTGTTGGGACCCATAGCTCAGGCACTGTGCAATATTGTTCTCCTCCACAACAATGGTCGCCCGCCGCTATCGCCCGAGTCTGTCATCATTAATGTCCAATAAGCCCAGCTATTGTACGTGGCGGGAAAGGAAGAGCAGAAAGCTCTGCAATGGTTAGTCCTTTCCCTTTTTTCACCCACCAATCCCTCCCATCCCCTTTTTCCCGCACCTTTCTCATCCCTTTCCCTCCAATTCCAGCCTTTCCAAGCCTCTTCTGCTGCACACCTTTTTTTGTATTCGCAAATCGCCTGTTATTCTTTACAAGCGGGGGCAGAAGGCTACAAATTAAAACAACAGCTTTGTTGTATCGGTGCCAGGAAAGGAATTCTTGTGCCAGGGGAGGAATCCCAGTGCCGGGAGAGGAATCCCAGTGCCGAGAGGAATCCCAGTGCCGAGAGAGGAATCCCAGTGCCGGGAGAGGAATCCCAGTGCCGAGAGAGGAATCCCAGTGCCGAGAGAGGAATCCCAGTGCCGAGAGAGGAACCCCAGTGCCGGGAGAGGAATCCCAGTGCCGAGAGAGGAATCCCAGTGCCGAGAGAGGAATCCCAGTGCCGAGAGAGGAATCCCAGTGCCGGGAGAGGAATCCCAGTGCCGTGAGAGGAATCCCAGTGTCGTGAGAGGAATCCCAGTGCCGTGAGAGGAATCCCAGTGCCGTGAGAGGAATCCCAGTGCCGAGAGAGGAATCCCAGTGCCGTGAGAGGAATCCCAGTGCCGAGAGAGGAATCCCAGTGCCGGAAGAGGAATCCCAGTGTTATATATATACATGAGGGCCAGATCCCAAATTTACACAGTAAAATAACTTACTGGAATCGACTCGAGAATGGTCCAGGACGGACCGAAACGTCGTCGTCGTCCCTTCACCTTCTAGTGTGTGGTCTGGTCAACTAACTTACTGGACCGAGCGATATATAGTAGGAAATTCAGAATAGACCCGGTGAAGAGCAGAGGTCCCATAGGCACAATCAGAGAACACGCCATAAACATCTGAGACACAATCAGAGAACACTGCATAAACATCTGAGACAATCAGAGAACACTACATAAACATCTGAGACACAATCAGAGAACACTGCATCAGCGATCCAGGGCTATTCAGTGCACTCCGAGCAAGCATAAGAAATATTGCCGGAACAAAGATAAACTTCTTAAAAAGAAAAAAAAAAGACACTTTCATGCAAGACGAGTCAGACCAACCAGGTTGTGGTAGATACGTGGGCCTGCGGGCCGCTCCCAGCAACAGTCTGCTGGGCCAAATTATCATAAGTCGAGCCTGGCCTTGGGCTGTGCATGGGTAGTAGGAGAACCCCCCATAACCCCCCCCCCCACTCCAGATATGATTCAGACCAGAATAAGGAAGCCTGGACAAGGATAGGGTGACCTATACGATATGATTCAGACCAGAATAAGGAAGCCTGGACAAGGATAGGGTGACCCACACCATGATAGGGGTAACATGGGCCACTTCATTCCTTCTTTCCACCCTTCCTCTCTCCCATCTACTTTTCCATTATCTACCCGTTCCGCCTACTTCCTCCCCTTCCTCGTCGAACTCTTCCCAACAAAGTGAACAAGTCACATCGAGTTACGTTAGCAAATTGACAAAGAACTAATTGCTTGGGCATCAGTGAGCTCAGGAGCACAAATTAGCAAACTGGCAACGCTCCTTTACTGAGTTTTAATTTGAATTGTTTTACTATTGTGTTTGCCTCTTGTGTTTGCCTCTTGTGTTTGCTCATTGTTGTCTTCTTGCATCTGGAGTTATCCTTATACTTTACCCAATTTTTATTAATTTATCCAGTTTTTTACTTGCCAAATATTATTTTTTTTTAAATTTCCCATTTTTTTTATCAATTCCTTTATTTTTTTAACTTCTCAATTTGTATTGGTTAATTGCTTCTTTTTTACTTTTCCCAATTTTGTATTAATTGCTTTATTTTTTTTATTTTCCCCCAATTTATACTTATTAATTCTCTTTCGTTTTTGTATTTTTTTTCCAATTTTTATTAATTGCTCCATTTTTACCTTGACTTTATTCCATATTTATTTGTATTGCTTCGTCATTTATCGGAATTCTTGGGTGGTGGGTCTCATCTTGGCGTTCACCTGTTCTCAGCCCTTATCGTCAGCCCACGCCCTCAGCCCAGGCCCTCAGCCCATGCCCTCAGCCCAGGCCCTCAGCCCACGCCCTCAGCCCACGCCCTCAGCCCAGGCCCTCAGCCCACGCCCTCAGCCCATGCCCTCAGCCCACGCCCTCAGCCCATGCCCTCAGCCCAGGCCCTCAGCCCAGGCCCTCAGCCCACGCCCTCAGCCCACGCCCTCACCCCAAGATAACACCACACATACTATCACCGGCGTAAATAAGTCCATATATAATTAATATATCTAGCAACCAGCCGATATAGTGAATCTGTTATTTACTCACGAATATTTTATATACTTTTCTGTACTAAGTAGCATATTTATTTCTCAAATATAATTGTATTTATACATTTTGGGTTTATGTGTAGCCAGGTCTAGGAGAGGTTAGGTAGGGTGTCTTGGATAAGCTGATACAGGAGGTGTTTACAGCTCATGCTGAAATATGTTGAGCAAACCACACATCAGAAGATAAGAGAAACGAGGTCGTTTCGGTCCGTTCTGGACCATTATGTCGACGACGTTTCGGACCGAAATGTTGTCGTTTCTCCATCTTCTGGTGTGTGGTCTGGTCATCAGATCTTCAGCCACGTTATTGTGACTCGTCGACTTCATGTTTTGCATATTACATAGTGAACCCGCCGGCCCTTCGATTACCAATATATTTATCTTTGTGATATTGACCCGTAGATGCGTTCAACACTAACTTGTGTTTTATCTAATTTTTATTTATTTTATATTGTATCTTTAGATCCGAGTCCCTCGACATTATAAAATATAATAATGGCTTTACTTTTGTTCCGGTAATTTCCTTTCATTCTCTTTGTTTGCCTATCATTAACTCTCCTCTTGGCAATTGTTTGCTGGGATACGGTTTAATTGTCTATCCCGACTCTCAACAAACTACTCCGGTCCCCCAGACCTCTCTTCGTCCACCAACGGGACGTTCAGCCTCTATCCCTCACCTAGTCCCACGAGACAGGGACGGGGCGTGAGGGGGCTGCATCATCTTGAGGAGGGAGAGGGGAATAGGGGGATAGGGAGAGAGAGCAACATTTCGTGCCAAGAAAACACTGGAGTAGGTTGGCCCACGACGCCGCTCATCAGGGACTCTGCTATATGAGCCAAGTTACGCACCCTCCAGCTTTTTATGGCCACGCTGGCATTATTACTCCTGCCTGGGCACCCCACCCCCTGGCACTCCGGGTCTGGGTATAGGGTAGAGGGATGTGGCACTGGGTCTGGGTGGGATGACTGAGGCTCTGGCACTGTGGCGCTGAATGCACTGGATATTCAGAGCATCCAGCAAGGGTGCATGCTAATCTTCCTCCACTGAGATGGGTTGGTTGTCCATCACCCGGTACTCAGACATTTGCCGGTCGGCGTTCGACCGTGCAAGTGGTTGGGCACCATTCCTTTCCTTGGTCCTGTCCCAATTTCTTGTCCTCATTCATTCCAAGCGGTATATAGTCACAATGTATTAGTGATATCTCTCGATATCACTAATACCTCACCTTTACCTTCCAATAATACCTGGATGGTTACAGCTAGCCTCAAAACGTGTGTACTCATCTAGTTGTACTCACCTTGGTTGAGCTCTGGTTCTTTGGTCCCGCCTCTTTACTGTCAATCAACTGAAGTACAGGTTCCTGAGCCTATTTGGCGCTATCATATCTACATTTGAAACTGTGTATGGAGTCAGCCTCCACCACATCATTACTTTATGCATTCCATTTGTTAACTACTCTGACACTGAAAAAATTCTTTCTAATGTTTCTGTGGCTTGTTTGGGTACAAAGTTTCCACCTGTGTCCCCTTGTTCGTGTCCCGCCCGTGCTAAAGAGTTTGTCTTTGTCCACCCTGTCAATTCCCCTGAGAATTTTGTAGGTGGCTATCATGTCTCCCCTTACTCTTCTGTTTTCCAGGGACGTGAGGTTCAGCTCCTTCAGCCTTTCCTCGTAGCTCATACCTCTCAGTTCCGGGACGAGTCTGGTGGCATACCTCTGAATCTTCTCTAACTCTATCTTGTGTTTAACTAGGCATGGACTCCAGGCTGGAGCTGCATATTCCAGGATTGAAGTGTTGTGCTACGATTGAAGTTGTGCGCTACGCATTAGGTTCACCGACCAACAAGGATTCGTTTCTCCATTCGAGTAATATATGAAAGTTAAGTTAGTTATGTGGCACATGTAGACATGATGATGTTAGTGTGCGCGGTTATCAATAATAACTTAGTGCCGTTCTCCATTCCTTTCCATAGTCTTTACGGTGTTTGCCTGTTCTCATTTGTGATCTGCAACAGCTCCGATACTGTCAGTAAAGAACGTATTAAAAGGTCCACCTCCCTCGTTGCTCAGACTGGGCCTAGGAACAGGCTGCTGCAGATCTTGCAACCTTTTTTCGAGGTTCGTCCGGTGTTTTCTCAAGTCAGGGGACCTATTCCTAAGGCTGCATATTCAAGCATGGGGGGGTCTTACACAGGTAAGACCTGCCATATATATTACCCGCACTCTCTCTTTTCTCCCGCGTTGAGCCAGGCCTCACACTGAGGTCTTAGCGAGGCTTCCTCACCAAATACTCCACCTGCCCTATGTAGAGCGCCTCATAATGCGGGGGGCTTTCTTCACCCGGATTTATGGAGTGTGCGTCGGGGATGTATACTGCCTGCTAACTCCAGGTTGCGTTCTGGCTCACTCTTCATCTTTATTTCAAGAATTTACTACACATATATTTACCTTTTACACAGATGGAATTCCGTTTTCTTTTATTTGGAAAGGAAAGGAAAAGAAAGTTAAGGGGGAGAAAGCGCCAAGCCAGTATGACTATACATCACTTAGAAGGTTTTCATTCTTATTTTTCTACCACAGACGTGGCCACACATTTACAATGCTAACCAGCATATATACATTTTCTTCTGTCCTCCATGGACAGGGTTAGAGATCAGTTAAATATATAGCTCAGGGATTTATTGAACAATCAACCACAGAAGGTGATTCGGTACTAGGGGTACGAGAACAAGGCGCTGGGGCGCGGGAACGGGTGAAGGAACAGTGCCCAACCACTCTGACCGCTTCGTATACCACCTTCCCGTGGTGCTGGGAGAGGAGATGAAAGCTTGGCGTGCTGGGACTGCGGCTAGTGAAGTTCCTCTTCGATTAACACAAAGGTGTTACATCCTGAAGGGATATAAACCCTGTGAGCACTATCACCTCCGGTTTACTGACCGAGGCGAGAGGTTTAAATCTAAACCGAAGGTTATATATGAATGTTGCGTTTGTACGACGCGAGCGGTACAGATGGTACAGCAGTGTTCCAGGGGGAGGTACAAGGGTGTTCCAGGTCCACCCTACAACTCCACTCCCTCCCCTTCCGTCCTCCCTTAAGCACCATCTCCAACGAGACTTCCCTTTTCATTCCTTCCCTCCCATCTCTCCTATCCACCCACTATTACACCCACTATGCACCCTTTCCATATATTTTCATTTCCATTTCTTCCCACCCTTTTTCCCTCCACTTTCTCTCCCCCCCCCCTTCCCTACCTTCCTCCCCTTCCCTGTTACCCCCCCACTCTTTCCTTTCCAATCTCCCTCTTCCTGTCACATTTCCCGTTTACCTTAGATCCCCTACCTTTGCCCTCCCCTTACCCTACACCCCTGTCATTATCCTCCCTTCCTTCCTTGTTACCTCGCGGCTCGGGAACAACTGTGTGCGGAGAATTATAGACATAATTAGAGACACTTCACGTCTGTTTGATTTTAGTGTTTAGGTCCACAGTCCGTAGGCAGGAAGAGCAGGGGGCGCGGGGGGCGGTTAAGAGGGAGAGAAAATAGGAATATGGAGAGAGGGGCCACGGAGGAGGGTGTAAGAGGGAGCCAGAGGGGGGGAGGGAAGGTTGTGAGAGAGAGGGAGAGAATCACTCAGTGGAATCGTAAACAAAATCATTGTATCGAGAGAGGCGGGGAGCGTCCGGGGAGGAAGGAGAGGTTAGAGATGGAGGGAGGTAAAGTAGAGATGAATGGGAGGGAGGGAGGGAGGGAGGGAGGGAGGGAGGGATGGTATGAACGGAAGGATAAGAGGGCGGAAAATGATATATTTATCTTTCCTATCAGACGACTCGATGCTAGGAAGATTACTTCAATGACATGCCACTCCCACCAGTTGATTGACAGTTGAGAGGCGGGACCAAAGAGCCAAAGCTCAACCCTCGCAAGCACAATTAGGTGAGTACACACACGTTGAAATACATGATTGTAAATACCTTTACAATCATTTACCAGTTACCTGCTAAGAGAGAACAAGCTTAACTAACACTATCCCTCGTGCCAGCAAGGCGGACAGTCCGCCTGCTGTCAAAACTTACACTATATTCTTTCTATATTTCACATTCCTCCACCATCAAATGGTCTGTTTTTATTCAATTGTGCCTATAAGTATCTTGCATGCTGTGAGCATGTCCTCTTTGTCTTCATATACGAACGCGCGCGTGTGTAGTAGTCTTCTGTTTGTGACAATAAGCTCTCTCTTCAACTGTTGCTTCCCATTATTCTCACTACAGGTCGTCTAGCAAATAATTACCTCCATACATATCTGCTAGTTTATCTGCTTTTGAAATTGTTGTATATAGCACTGTCTACCTCTTCGGCTACTCCATTCTCTTTCTCAATTACCCTTGTTGTGGGAATCCAGGTTGGAGACCGGACCGCGGGGCCATTGATCCCCGGAAGGGATACAAGGTAGGCAGGCTAATGATTTTCTCGCATGTCTGTCACTCGTCTGTGTTTCTTGCGTCCATTCGTGTCCTCTTGTTGTCGTTATTGTCACATTTTTATCTTTTCTATCACACAAGTTTTACTCTCTCTCTCTCTCTCTCTCTCTCTCTCTCTCTCTCTCTCTCTCTCTCTCTCTCTCTCTCTCTCTCTCTCTCTCTCTCTCTCTCTCTCTCCTCTTCTCCTTTCTTAGGGACGTTAGGTCTCGTTCTTTCAACCTTCCCTCGTATCCTCCTCTCACATAGTTCTGGGAGCAGCCTTGTTGCAAACTTCTGAAGTTTTCAAGTTCGGTTTTGAGTTTCTTGAGGCAAGATCTCCAGGCCACTGTGCTCCAGGGCTGGTCCAACCCAGTGGAAAGCGTTCTGAATGGCTCTTTAATGAAGTTCCTGGAGATTATCCTGATTCATCATGAGCATATGATGAATACTT